AATATTGCCACCGAAATCGTTTAAAATAAAGCAAGGTCGAAAATATTTCACATTCATCACTGGGCATATTTATTTGATATTGATCTTTAAGTTTGCAAAGACACTCAATTATATGAGCAACTCATAATCGAATTTTCAATTAACACAGAAAGAAGAAAGGTGTCTATAAGAAGTAACAATCCGATTCTTATAAATATATCTTCGAAATGTAAAAATTTTTTCATAAAATTTTTTCATAGTTTTAAAGATTTGAAATTGATTACGAATTCTAATAGTTACAAGTAATGTACAGCTTCATTAATTCAAAGGATCCTATACACAACAATAAAATCGATGAACATCATGTCAGTCTGCCTATTCAGATAAGAGTTTTAAAAACGCAGCATTTTAAAGCGTAAAAATCATACATTTTTGGGCCTTCAAACTCCTTTTTTTCTTTGAATCAAATATTTCTCACAACTTTGATAAAACGTGAATACAAGCGCTTTTTACGGATAAAAACATCATTTTTTAAAACTTTCCTTGACTGGTAGCTGCAAAATCCGTTATTGTGGACATTTTGAGAACACTTTTGTGATCATTTCAATCATAAACCTAGTTGCCCATATAGGTCTACTGTCATTTACTTCATGTTACTCCAGATTTAGGTCGAAGTTATGAGCATTTTTACTACAGAGCTATTGGTGCTGTCTCGAAGGTCTCTAACTACCGAGATGGCACAAATAAGCAAGAACCCGATGTAATTCACCAAAATAATGGCTGAAATAACCCAAATATATGATTGGTACCATTATGTGTTCTATGAAAACGGTCATTTGTACTATATGTTGAAGACAGACATACACAGGTGAACTTCGGTTTCTAGACCCTATCCTTTATGGCATCTTTGAAAAATCAAATGAATACAAAACTAAATAGTGCTGACATTCGCCTTTCTCTTTTCATATAGGTACTAACCACATTAGATCTCTGCTGGAATGCAATCGGACCAATAGGAGCACAAAATTTGGCTGAAGCATTAAAAAGCAATAATGTATAAGAAGATTTGCAAATGATATAGTTCATAAATTCGTACATGTTTTCATATAGACACTGACTACATTGAATTTAGATCTTAATCATGTTGGACCCACAGGAACACAATATCTAGCAGGTGCATTAAAAATAAATAAGGCATGCTATACCTTTTTCATTTGATTCTGAAACATTCGTCTTTGTTTGTAACATAGACACTTACAGACCTCAGCTTGTTTAGCAACCAAATCAAGAGTGATGGAGCAATACAATTGGCTAATGCACTACGACATAATCAAGTGATCTATAATCATCTCTGTTTTATCTTTTATTGATTAATAGCTTCTTTTTCAACTAGACGCTCTTGACTCTAAATCTAGGCGAGAATGGCATTGACGATAGCGGAGGAGAACATCTGGGTGATGCATTAGGAAACAATAAGGTGACATATTTCCTCATCTTAGTTGTCTCGTGTTGATATTTACGTTTTGAGATAGTCACTCATTACTCTAAATCTTCGAAACAATAGAATTGACGACAAAGGACTACAACATTTAGCGGCAGGATTACGAAATCATAAGAAACTCATAACACTAGACCTCGAATCAAATAGAATTCATGACGAAGGAATACAAGATCTCGCTAATGCACTACGAAGCAATCAGGTAGCAATTGTTTCTTTTGATCATTCATGCTCGTTACCGCTTTTTCTACATAGACATTAAGAATATTGAACCTTGGCGGAAATGGAATCACAAGTACTGGTGCACAATATCTGGCTGCCGCACTAGAAACTAACAAAGTGGTGTATATTCGTTGTTCTTATCCTCATATTTTTCCTTTTTTTCCATACAGACACTGAGAACACTAAAACTGAATGGAAACGGAATTCAAATGAAAGGAGCACATTATTTAGCTGCTGCATTGAAAAACAACAATGTAACTTAATATTTATCATATAGATAATTTCATACTATTTGTCACAGACACTTCTCGAACTGGATCTTTCTGCAAATCATATTGAAAACGAAGGTATAAAGGCATTGAGCTATGCATTACGCAACAATCACGTATGATATATTTCTAATTCATATTGCTCATATATATCTACTTCATTGTATATAGACGCTCGTTACACTAACATTAGAAGTCACACAGATTACAGATGATGGCGTACGTTATTTAGCTGATGGATTATGTTACAACAAAGTAATTGATTTTCCTCCATAGCTTTCTCACTCTCATATATTTCTTTCCCTTTTACATAGGGTCTTCAAGAATTGAATCTTGTCTATAATACAATCACAAAAGACGGCGCACAACATTTGAGTAGTGCATTAAAACATAACAATGTGATATACCATTTGTTTTTTGTTTATCTATCTTATAATTATTTTTGCTTTTGTGTATAGACGCTCTTTACGTTGAACTTGAGTCACACTGGTCTTGGAGACGATGGAATACGAGCACTAGCAGATGGATTAGAAAGAAGCAAAGTACTAATTCTTTTTTATTTTTTTCTCATATTTAATTTTACATTTTGGTTACAGTCGCTGGCTACACTACATATGGAATATAACACAATAGGAACTGAGGGAGCAAAAGCACTGGCTGGTGTACTACGAAAGAATAATGTAACATATTTTTTCAACTTATTTTTCTCATATCGAAGTTTATT